ATATAACTTGTGTAAAATATTGCTAGTCCTTGAAAAAACTGTACACTAAGAGTATTTTCAGCTTGCAGGTAGAGATAGGAAAAACCGTATGAAACATCAATAAGGGCGGTAGGTAAAATGAGTAAGAGCGTTCGGGATGCGAACAGTGGCTTCTGGAGATGATGCTCAGCACACAGCAGTGACTTCTCGAGATAATAGCTAAAGCCTTGATCAAGTGCTTCTGTTGAAAGAGCGTTAAGATCGACAGTAGGTAGCATAGTTGGGGAATCGAGAAATGCAGTTGGTCGAAGTAGTAACATGCAAATTTTTTTCGTTTTGAATTTATGATTAAAGTATCGATCAAAAACTAATGTTTAACTCAGTATCTAAGTTATAATTGGACATTTCATTACAGGTCGCAAAGTCGTGAAACCGCTTTCTACCACAAGTAAGTGCATTTTTTTGTGTTTAGTAAGTGTAATAAAACGTACCCATTTTACAAATAATCAGTGTGCGTCCGGAGGGTCGTGTTTGCCCTCGATCTGTAGCAGCGTTCACGTAATGTCAATAGTCCACACCTTCTGAAATGCTTCATTTCGTGTCATTTCTAGCCGAGCGGTTGACTATGGCAACAGAGAAGGTGACGGTAACGCAACGCATGACAAAAACAATGCCGGTGACACGACTTGCCGCGAATGAGAATATCACTACGTCCACAACTACAACATTGCTGTATAGTGTGAAAACCCGTGCTCCGCCATACATACGTTCCACGATGGGCTCCAGCACGGTATCTGAGACGACCATAACCACTCCTTATCCGGGAGCATCGAGCACTGACAAGTTTTCGTCTTTACTTGCGATAATTTGCGTGCTTCAGTCTTTGTGTCGAAATGCTTATGCTTAAAAGTATCTATACTGTTCCGGCTGACACCGTTTTGCTACTCATCGCAGTCACCATATCCACATAATTGAAATCCTAAAAGATTTATAGCAAGTGATCAATACTTGACAATTTTAAACAATTTGGATTATTTGGCTCAGCTGCAATTTATAGTCTGCTTCTCTAGTTATATAGCTGACAACTTCCCCAGTTGCTTTGACCAGTGCTGCTCCGCTTAATGGTCAGGCCGAGAAGGGGATAAGGGAGGAGGGGGAAGCAGTGGTGGGAAAAAAGACCGGGGCTAATCCTAGGCTATCTTTGAGAACAAAAGCTAGTTTATTCAAGCGTTAAGACGAGAGATTCGATTCCCTGCCGATCCATACTTTTTGCAAAAGATAGTCTGGACTGCGATAATACCTCTGTTAGCGGCAAGGTTTAAGGCTGAAGATGAGCAGGAAATGAGGAGGAAATCGGTTTAGGGAGCATTTTAAACACGACACCTCAGAATTAAATCAATATTTACATGTACTCATGCATCTTGCTCGCATATTCTTAACATTTAAAAATTTTTCATTTGCTTTATTTTTGGTGCATAGAAATGGTCCGAATTAAGATCTAACGTGATGTATTAGACAATAGAGTGACCTGAAAGTTGACATCACTGAATAGAGTGATTTGAAAGTTTGTTTTAGCGTGTGGTGACTGATTGTGCTCCGAAATTTCAACGCCACAGCTTTTATAGGTCTTGTATTTCGTATATTTGAATTATATGTGTAGATATATGCGCATACATGCACATGCAGACAAATGCATACACACATAATCGTGATCTTGACATGATAAAGACGTTATAAATTAAGCAAAGAAATACGCGCTATAAATGCTGATATTTATAAAGTACGGATATATTGAGTTCCTTTCACGGCGATTTGGATTTATGCGGATGAGAGAAGCGAAAAACAGGGAAGAATGGAGAAGCTACCAGCTACACCGATGGAGAAAGTAAATGCTACAGCAAAGTGTCAGCTGATTGAGCATTAAAATAAACGTTTATGTAAAGCGCCTTGCTTATGGAGATATGTTACAAAAACACGGGAGTATTCGAATCTGTTAGTGTGTGTGTGTGTGTGTGTGTCATAGTTATTTCCTCACCATTCAGAATGCGGGAAATTTTGCTAGCTATGTGACCTAACAGCTGTACATCTACGTCATCCAAATATAGCTTTTTATGTGAGAACTACCCACTGCATTTGTTTACTTCTTTATTCCTCTGAAGACAGCCCGGTGATTCATGGCGATAAGCATTCGAAATGCCTTTGCAAAAGTTTGACTCCCGACGCCCGTCTCACACCATTTAAGTCACAATGTCACTGATAAAGCGAACTTTTTATCAAAAAAGCGTGCTTGACGCCCAATGAATCGGTTAAGTTTCGATGAGTACGAGTGGCTTTTCTGCCATGTTTTCTGCCTACGGGAGCTTCTTTCTTCTGGGTAATATTACTAAGCAATTTTTTTTTT